AGCCGGGGGCCGGGCGCGCCTCGGCGGCCTCGTCGCTGCGAGGATCTGGGCCCGGGCCCGCGGCACCCTGGGGCGCTCCGCCGCTCGGGTTCTTGTCTCCGGGGCTAAGGGTCGTGCCGCCGTTGCGTCCAGACGTGCCCGCACACCCCGGGGCCCGGATCACACTCACTGGGGATGTGCCCGCACACCCTGAGGCCTGGATCACACCAACTGCAGATGTGCCAGCACACCCCGAGGTCTGGACCACGATGACTGTCTAGACTGTCTAAACGCCATCCCCCAAACCCTCTGATAGATCCTCAGCACTAATCTGATACTGACAGTTTTAGAATTTTTTGCCAGTTAAAAATAAATTGTGAGATAAGGCCTGCCCTTGACATGGTGGCTAGGGCTCTAGATTCCACATGGCCAAGTGAGCGTTGGAGTCCCATCCCTGAACACAGTGGCTTGAACATCACGCCAGGTGCATGTGTGTGCATGCACCAAAGCCCTAGAAGAGAATGAGGAAGAGCTGTGCCACCATCCCCGCGGGGGTGACTTCTCTCCCTCTCTTACACACACACGCACTCACCCTGCAGTAAGAAGAAACAACTGCGAGGTCCTAAATCAAGCCTGGTAGTCTAGGTACCCTCACTAGTGGGTGAAATGCATCTAACACCCGACAGCAGACCTTCGCTCCTCCACGCTGCTGAGAACGCGCACAGGTGGGTGTCCTCGGATACTAGGCAGACCTCGTCGTAGAGCAGCGCTCAGCTTTCAGGCCACGTGGCAGGTGTGTATAGCTCAGGAGCGTGAAGATTATACACTTATCAAACAGGAAGACCCCTGGGACTGACTCGTGGCACGGTGGACCGGGGCGGCCAACAGCGGAGCGGTCGTGAACTGCTGACTTACCCAGTGGAGAACGTGCGCCTTACGTAGGAGAGGAGCTGTATGAGTGGCAAGGTCTGAGAGCAGGCTGGGTAAGGCCGCCTTTTGGACCAGAGGCAGTTGAGTCACTTAGTGTTTTGTTCATTCTAAGTAAACACTTGCTCTAAAGACAATGGAAGCAAATGTGTCCCTCAGAATGTGTCGTTTACATGCACTGTGTACCGTGTACGTCTGTAATTATGGAACATGCTGTTAATACATTTACACGAGGCACTGGGAAGCCTCCGTGTACTTCTCACGTGGCATCACCAAAGCTGAGTGCCCACTGTGTGCGAGGAGCCCGGACCTGCAGCTCTGAGGGTAACCTGAGGGCCAGCCCTGTGGCCCCGTGGGGGAGGGAGCCAGACCCCTCACTGACAATGGTGGTTTGAATCCTGGCCCCAGGTGCTTGAAAATACTCCCAGTTGGGGGGCCAGCAGATGGCGTGGTGGTTAAAGGCACTAGGCTCCCATACGGCCAGCCACGGTTCAAGTCCTGGACCTGGCGGTTTGCTTTTTCACTTTCTCTCTCTGTCTCTCCCTGGTCAAATGAATAATAATAATAAAGTTAAATAAAATAGTTACTCATAAAAAAACACTTCCAGTTGTGCCAGCCAGTGGCGTGGAAGTTAAGGCAGTTGATCCCACCTACCCAGCTGCCCAGTTCAAGCCTTGGACCCGGTGGTGTGAGGAACTTCCCTGGCGAATGCTGAAAAAGATCCCTGGCGAATGTGCACACTCGCCCAAAATCCCAGAGGAGAATGGAAAAGGCATGGCCACCCTACCCAGGGGGTCATTTTCTCTCTCCTTACCTCCCGCTAGCTCACATGCCCTATAGAAAACAACAGCACCAACAAAAAACAACTAAAAAAGAAAAGAAAAATGCCCCCAGCATGTGTACATGTGTGTGTGTCTGTGTGTGTGCGCCCCAAATCCCAACAGGACAGGGAAACGGAGAGGAGGGACTGCAGCGTGACTATGCCCTGTGCGGGTACTTTCTCCCACTTCCTCCGTCTCCGTCTCTGTCTCTCCATCTCTCTAGCAAGTGCACACACACTCTGTCAATGACCACAGACCCAGAAGAGGTAGGGAGAGTGAGCGGAAGCACGCACTGGCGCGTCTCAGTGGTGACCTGTGGACACAGACCGGCATGCTGCCTCCATGAAGCGGAGATGGCAAAACCCACACTGCTCTCACCTTAGACAGTACTATTACTTCCGTTTCTATACAGCACGTGCACACACCAGAGAGAGAATAAGAAAGCAAGCCACCAGGTCTGGGACTCGAACCACTGTCGGCCATGTGGGAGTCCAGCGCTTTAACCATCACACCGCCTGCCAGCCCCAAGAACCACACTATCCTAAGGTCAGGAATCCAGTGGCACCGATCGGAAGGGCTCCAGGGAAGAGGGTTTGCACTGGGCCTGCCGTCACCTGAGGGGTCAGTAAGTGCCCACCTCATGCAGGCGGGCCAGGCTGGACGGGACGCGTGTCAGGCGTGTAGTGACTATGAGGGAAACAGCAGAGCACACAGGGCCTATAGGACCTGAGAGGGGAGCAGCACCCGGAGACGCCGCCAGGCAGGGCCGCTAGGTGCACACCGCGGAGCTGGAGATGAGGCACAGGAGGTGCGCCAGACTCAGGCTTCACCGGGGCTCGCCTTGCGCCCCGGGCAGTATGAGGCCTGTGTCTGGACACAGACGCTGGGAAAGAGAGGTCAGCCCAGCCGCGCCACAGCTGCCTCGTGGGCCTGTGGTCTGGCTGGAGGACCCACAGCACTCAGACAGACCACAGGGAGCTCGGGCTACAGAGGAGCTGGGGCCAGGAGATTGGCAAGGCCGGGCAGGAGGAGATAGCTAGCTGAGGGTGGCCGCATGCCCACAGGAGCCGTGGAGAGAAGCCCTGCAGGGGAGGGGACCCGGTGAGGGCGCTGAGGCAGGCATGCGCCTGTGTTGGAGGCACGAAGCAGCCATGAATGGAGCAGGACAAACCCCTAGGAAGCATGGCGCAGGGCTTCTTCCCCACGGGTTTCTGAGCTAAGGGAGATGGGGACCGGCAGGCTTGCGGCTCAGAAGCAGCACCATCAACTTAATTTAGATTGCTTTGCCGAGTGAACCTCGGGGGAGGGGGCAACATCAGGGACAGGGAGCCCCACTGAGTGCCTCTCATAATGCAGAGCGAGCTTGCTGGGTCCACCTCCTCAGATTATGTACAAACACCCAATAAAATAATGTGCAAATCTATGAGCCCCACGTTTAAGAGAACAGCAAAAACGTCCATGCTGTGTAATCGCGGCCAGGACGCCACATCCTGACCATGTAAACGCTGACCCTTTATAAAATTTGCAAGCGGCAGCTGCACTCGCCAGGGAGAGCACTCGTGAGTGGGTGGGTCCGACCGCCAGCCCTGCCCCTCCGTGTGGTCTGGCTGGCACGTGCACGTGCTCACACCAACACAGTTCCTTCCTTCCTTCCTTTTTTTTTTAGAGAGGTTTTTGCAATAGCGCGCATGCACTCGCCAGAAAGACAGAGACAGAAAGTGAGAGATATCCCCTCCCGGGGGGATGGCCACGGCACAATCCCTTCTCCTCCATTCTCCTCTCGGGATCTTGGGCACACACATGTGCCCAGCATGAGTTTAAGCCATCAGGTCCGGACTTGAACCACAGTCGACTACATGGGAGTCCAGCGACATAGCCATCACGCCAACTGCTGGTCCCTTACCAAGACAGTTTCAAACCACCAGTGCTGGGATTTGAACCATGCAATCAGTCATGTGGGGATCCAGTTCCCTTAAAGACTAGGACACAGGGCTGGCCCGTAAATACTGACTGGTAAAGTACGGCCACGGGCCTAGATGGTGGCACAGCAACAAACACGAGGCTCTGCGAGAACCTGGCCACACGGAAGGTTCTGGGTTCACGTCGAGAGCCCTGAATGCCCCAGCTGGCAGAGCCCACAGCTCAGGGTCCGTGGGGAGAGACCGCTGTGGAGGCTCCTCTTTCTGCCCCTTTTGCTCGTGGGAGAACTGAACAGACAACATTTTTTAAAAAGGAAGAGAGGCCAGCTTTATTTATTCACTTAATTTAAATGTGAATTTTATGGGGCACAGGTGCTCCCTGGGGACACAGAGGGGAGTGAGAAAGCACCCAGGGGCGACCCCGCTGCAAGCCCTGCTCCCCCACCCCCTCTCAGGAAGGCGGGCATGCTCGCACACGCACCGGCATGTTCTTCTGGGTCCAGGACCTGAACCGCACAGTCAGCCTGGTGAGATCCCGCCGCCTTAACCACTGGCGACCAGCCGCTCAATTTATCATGAACTACTAGGTTGTCGGGAAAGTCATGAGGTATTTTTCTGATTTTCTAAGCAAAAACACGTCAGGCCTTTACCGACGACTCAGACAGGAGGGCGCCGGCTGCACCAGACCCGTGTAGTCAACTGCACTTGGAGCCTGGCGGGCCCGCGTGTGCTCAGGGCCCGACAGGATGGAGTAGAGCAGGCCTGTGGCAGAATCAGGCCACTCCGGCTGCTTCCTCGTGGACGCGACCATGAGTAAACAGGGGCCAGCAGGAGGCATGGTGGTTAAGGCGCTGGGCTCCCACGTGGCCAACTGCAGTTCGAGTCCTGGACCTGGCAGCTTGCTTTCTCACTTTCTCCCCCAGCCCCACCCGCCGTCTCTCTCTGGTGAGCACACGTGCCCTGTAGCAAATTTTAAAGAATTATTCAAGGAACCAGCAGATGGCATGGAGGTTATGTTGCTGGACTCCTCCATGGCCACCTGTGGTTCAAGTCCTGGACTTGGCAGCTTGAAAACCACACCAGGCGCATGTGCATACATGCCCAAAAATCCCAAGAGGAACCGGGGAAAGGGGCTGTGGCGTGGCCACCCCTGCTGGGAGGCGATTTCTCACTCTCCTTCTCTCCCTCTGGCAAGCGCAAGTGCCCTGTAGCGAAGACCTTAAAGGAGCCACAACAACAGAAAGCAGCAGAGCGGGGCAGCTCTGTGCACCACAGCCACCGGCAGGGCCTCTCCCGCGGCCTCAGCGGGCACTCCGCAGTCTGAGAACCAGAGGGGCCACCACACAGCAGGGGCTGCTGCTCGCGAGGCTGGGTCCCACGCAGCTCCGTGTGAATCCCTGGCCCGGCCGCCTGCAACACGCCCAGACGTGCAGGGGTGCCCTGAACCTGAGGGCGGAGAGCTGGAGGAAGGGGCCACGGGGCGACCGACCCTGTGGGGAGTGCCCCCGTCTCTCACACGTGTGCACGGGCTCTACCATAAATGGAGAAACATTTTTAGAAAAAGAAAAAAATTTCAGAGCAAAATACCGCATTCTCACTGGTCCCCTTTAAAGGGAGGTGACGACTGGCAAGTAGCAGGGCCGTGGTCTTGGGGACGTCCTATCGCGCTTGGTCCCACCAGATTGCCATCGCCCTGCGCGCCTGACACACCCAGCCCAGACCAGGCCGGCATCTGTGTCCCCGCAAACAGGCCTGCCTGTCCGGCTCCCAGCACCCGCTCCTGTCCCACACCCTGCTCCCCGGCCGTGCGGACCTGTGCCTGGAGTGCCGCTGTGCCCATCGGTGGCCTGTGCCAAGCCCCACTGCGACCCCGTGCCCACTCACCCCGTGTGCGGCTCATAGCTCTCCCTCACCCAGGCGCAATCCTCCCTTCTGTCCAGCCCCGCCTCTCGCTCAGGCGTGTCCTCACTGTGGCACCTCTGTGTTGGCACACGCGCTCACGCTCTCTCCCCTTGCTTTCTCCTCTAGCCTCAGGATTTTAAAACTGACACATGTGGGGCCAGCAGATGGCACAGTGGTTATGTTGCTGGACTCCCACATGGCCGACTGAGGTTCGAATCCCGAACCTGATGGTTTACTTTCTCTTTCTCTGTGTCTCTTTCTGGTCAAATTAAAATAATAATGACAAAATAATTATTTTTTTAAAAAAAACCCTGATATATCAGGGCCAGCAGAGGCATGGTGACTGAGGGCGCTGGACATTCCTACATGGCCTACCACGGTTCGAGTCCTAGAACTGGTGGCTTGCTTTCTCACTTTCCTTCTCTCTGTGTGTCTTTCTTTCTCTGGTCAAATTAAGATAAATGAATGAATAAATACAATTAAATAATTCTTTAAAACAACAAAAAAGAAGCATTTACTTCCATGGGGCCAGCAGGTGGCGTGTGGTTGAGGGCGCTGGATTCCCACATGGCCAACAGTAGTTTGAGTTCTGGACCTGGTGGCTTGCTTTCTCACTTTCCCTCTCTTGTTCTGTCCCTTTCTGGTCAAATAATCAAAGTTAAATCATTCCTTTAAAAAAGAAAAAAAAAAAAGGCATTTTCGTGTGGTGACCCCTCGTGGGGCGTCTCCCCCGACTACCCTGTGTGCACAAGCTGGCTGCAGAGACCTACGGTGACTTGCAAGGGCATGTCCACACCACAGCTCGAGGACAGCAGTCTGGTGCCAGCACCACTCCATGGCTGCTCGAGGCAGCCACACAGCTTCAGCTCGGTCCACTGGCCGGGGTAGGATAAGCCCTGCTCATTTAGAAGAGTCGGAAACAGCACTCTGAATTGCACAGAACGACGTATTCGCAGCGAAGACAGACCCTGACCTTGGCCAAGCTCTCAGAGGGCGAATAAGGTGCACTCAGACACAGCCTGCTGGCAGCGCCGTCACAAGTTCCAGAAGTGGCAGCATGGGTGTAAGCACTTGGTTAGGAAGTGGCCAGGGGCCAGCAGGTGGCATCGCGGTCACGTCGTGGGACTCCCATGTGGGTAACTGCAGTTCCAGTCCCGAACCCCGTGGCTTACACTCGTTCCGGGCATGTGCGTGTGTGCCCAAGATCCAGGGAGCAGAATGCAGAGGGGACTGCGGCGTGGCCATCCCCCAGGGGGTGATTTCTCACTCTCTCTCACTGTCTCTATCTCCCTCCAGCAGCGCACACACCTTCAGGCAAAACCCTCTACAATAAAGTGTTAGCCTTTCTGGTTTTCTTATTTACAGAAACGCAAATACCACAGCATAAAAATATTGTATTACTAGACCAGAAGGTGGCATTGCGGTTAAGGTGGCCGGATCCCACATGGCTGACAGCTTGGTTCGAGACCTAGACCCGTTGGCTTGAAGATCACACTGGGCACGTGTGCGTGCCCAAGATCCTGCGAGTAGAATGGAGGAAGGGGGGATTGTGGTGTGGCCCTCCATCCCGGTGGGGGGAGGGCGGTGATTATCATTTTCCTTCTCTGTCACTGGAGAGCACAATGACCCTACAGAAAACAAAATTACCACAAACTCCTTGCTACCCGGAACTATTGAAAAGGATTAATACATTTTATTATTATTTAAAGATTTCCTTTACTTAGCCCTCACCAGAAAGAGACAGAAGGGCTGACAGGTGGTGTGGGCGCTGGACTCCCACATGGCCTACCATAGTTCAAGTCCTGAACCTGGCGGCTTGCTTTTTCACTTTCCTTCCCTCTCTGATAAAATTAAAACAAGTAAATAAATTAAGTTAAATAAAATAATTCAAAAAAAAAGGAAGAATGAAAGAAAGGAAGGAAGGGACAGAGAAGTGAGAGAGCAGCCGCCGGGTCTGGGACTTGGACTGTGCTTGGCCATGTGGGAGTCCAACGTGTGCTTGCTGGAGAGGCAGAGATAGAGAGAGATCACCCCAAGGGGGATGGCCACACTGCAGTCCCCTCTCCTCCATTCTCTTCTCAGGACCCTTGGCATACATCATACGCACCCAGCATGAGTTTCAAGCTGCTGGGTCTGGGACTCGAACCATGGTACTCAAACTGTGGTCGACTACGTGGGAGTCCAGTGACAGCCACTACACCATCTGCTGGTCCCTCAGCTACCCAGAATTTTAAGGATAAAATGTTCTGTTTGAGGGCGCAGCAGCGGCATGGTAGTTAAGGTGGTTGGACCCCTGACCCAGTGGCTTGAAAATCACACCAGGTGTGTACATACATGCCCCAAACCCAGGAGGAGAATGGAAGAGAGGGGCCTGTGGCATGCTCTCTCACCTCTTCCCACTGTCTCTATCTCTTTCCAATAAGCACACCTGCCACGGCAAAAGTCCTTTGACAACAGTTGTGTCTGCTCGGCTGGCGGGGGCTCAGCCCAGCGTGGCCGGTGGGGTCTGGCGTCTGTGAGGCCTCTGGGAGACGGTGTGACTGCCGCTCAGATGAGCAGAGCCCAGCACCAAGACCTCAGCACCGCACTTGGGCAGCTCAGGAGTCCACGCTTCACGCAGTGTCCTGGTCAGGACCGCGTGTCCCCATCCCAGCACAGCACGCCCTGCCTGGCTTAGCTAGCTCTTTGGTAGGACCCGGCAAACAGAGTACACGTGCCCTTTCCTCTTCCCAGTTTTTTTTTTTTTGTGTGTGTGTGTGTGAGGTTTGCTACAGGGCACGTGTGTTCACCAGAAAGACAGAGACAGAGAGACAGAAAGCAAGAAATCACTCCCCCGGGGGGATGGCCACGCCGCAATCCCTTCTCCATTCTCCTCTCGGGATCTTGGGCACGCATGTACACGTGCCCAGCATGAGTTTAAGCCACCAGGTCCAGGACTCAAATTGGGGTCAACTACATGGGAGTCCAGCGACAGAGCCATTATGCTAACTGCTGGTCCCTTAAAGTTAATTTTATTCATTTCTGAAAAGTCAACTTGGCTGCCCCCCATAGCGAGGACCATGGGTGCAGGATGTAGCCCCGGCCTGCATGGACGTGCCACCCAGCAGCACCCAACAACTGAGTGCTGCCCGGGCCGGCGCATTCCCAACTCCAGGCCGGCCTGCTGGGGCCCTGGTGCCAGGACGGTGGGGCCCCTCGGGTCCATGAGGGCCGGCATTGGGCCGTTTCATGTGCTGCACCCTGCCTAGGCCATGGTCACCGGTTGTTGGCCTCAGGGGGTCCTAGGCCAGCCCACGAGGTCTCCCTGCTCCAGAGCACATGGTCAAGGCTGGCGGAGGCTGTTGGGGCCCCGCTCGGCCAGGCTGCCCAGGAATGGAGTATACCCACAGGCCACAGTGCACCCTGTGACCCCCGGGTCAAGACCCTGCCTGCCCTCCCGCAGGTGCCCTGGCCTGGTCCCCTGGGGGAGGGTGCCCACCTGCCGTGGACGTCCCGACCCGCTGGCTCCTGCACACAAGAATGCTTGCTGGCAAGGCCAAGCTCCTGCGCAGGGAAGCAGCATGCAGCCCTGGGAGATGCGGACTGCACCCCCTGAGACCCTGGGCTGTGCTGCAGCAGTCTGCAGGAACCCAGGCACAGGAGGCGGGGTGGGAGCAGGGCTCGCCCGAGCAGTGGGTGGGGAGAGACAAGCCTCTGTCTGCCCCCACGCAGGCCCCTGGCCTTGGGTAGTCACCTTGGGCAGGGCCGGGGCTGCTGGGCAGCACAGGAAAATGGCCCCAGTCCAGGCTCTTCCGTGGTAGGAACTGAGGGCAGTGGAGTCCAGCTGGAGCTGGCACTGGGCACTGGTCAGGATGGCCGGGCAGGCCGCTGTGGCAGCAGAGTGGCACAGCGGAAGCGTGCTGGACCCGTAACCCAGAGGCCGATGGATGGAAACGACCCTCTGCTATAGGCTTCCTTTCCCGCGGGCGCGGCCCCGCGGTTCCCAGCGGTGTGCACTTCTGTGGTGAGACAGTCAGCCCTCTGGACTTCGGACCCAGTGGTACACGTTCAAATTTTGGTAGAGCCTCTTCCTGCTGGTGGCTCTTTTGTCCTCCTGGACACACACGGAGGTGGCAGTGGTGGGCCCTCTGTTCTGGGTGCGGCTGCTCAGTGACACCTCAGCCCCTCGGTGTGCGGAGGGCAGGCGTCCCTCCAGTCTGCACCTCTAGGTGCCCCTCTGGCGACCGGGGGCCCTCCAGGTGAGCGAGTGTCCTCAGGAGCCTCTCTAGGATTGCCTGACCTTTCCAAGTTGCCAGAGGATGTGTGCAGCGGCCAGAAAGCACGCCTCGCCCCAGCAAGGCCGCCCCCCACTTCTCCCCACCGTCAGGGTCTGTGTGCTGGTGTGTGCACCCACACGGATAGGTATCCAGGTCCGGAAGCTCAGCACTGACCAGCCTGCTGGGCGGCCCCCCCTTTCATTCTTTTTTCTCTCTAGACCAAAACCAGCTCATACCGTGTGTACCACTCAGGACTCCCGGGCCAGGACCTAGAAACTGGCCGCCCTGATCCGCTGTAAGGCCGAGACACAAGCCGACTTGCCGGCCTGCAGCTCCCAGCGCAAACGCAGTGGAGGGCACCCGCCCCACCGGTTCCTGCACACCGGCACCTGCG